ACCCCAAAGGCTCCATGGACCCATCATATGGTATCATATGGTATAAACTTTGGCCCTAAGGTACCTATATAGGAACCCCTTCAAGGCCTGAGTATATACTCCATGGGTATAGGGAGCACGAACCCCCCTAGACTTTATACCCCTAAACCTTACACCCTGAACCTTAAACCCTAAACCCGAAACCCTTATACCCTGAACCCGAAACTCTAAAAACATTCAAGGCTGACCCAGACGGCCTGAAGACCCTTTGCACCGGCGGCGTGGAGGAAGGCCGGTTCGGTCCGGGATGGAAGGGAGGCCTTTGGGGTTTGGGGTTTAGGCTTCTGAACGTCTATTTGTTCTCCAAGACCTCAACATTTGAAGGCAAAATAAAGCTAGAGGGAACAGGTAAAAGAAAGGTAACCACGTCGAGAGAAGGTCAAACAAAGCTACAGGGAAAGCCGCACTACCCCCTGCACCGCCCCCCAAGCAGCGCGTGCGCAGCCGCCGGGTTAGATCCATCACTCCCTCCGACCTCCCGGGGCCGTCTTTGACCCCCTCCCTCCTCCCCTCAAAAAGTTAGCTTCTCCTACGGAAAAGATAACCAAAAGCTGAGACAAAGGTGAGAACCAGGTATAAAAAGCTACAGTAAGGTCCAGAAAGGCAAACAAAACAGGTGGCGGCGGACACATATGTACAACAAAAAGGGTGGACGGAAAAGATAAAAGAAAGGTGGCCTTAACAAAAACAAAGGGTTTGCTGTGTTACGTTTATGTTACGTTTTCTCAGGTACCTTTGTTTTACCCGTGTTTCACCTTTGAAATATTTCAGACATGTCATAAGGTGCCAACAATGCGCGAGCCGTTTTGCGGTTGAGTGTCTTAGGATTCGGGCTTAGGGTTTGGGGCTTGACATGGTTTTAGGTGGTTACTTGGAAGGGCAGGGGACTTAGTAAGTAGGTTATAAGTAGAGTTATAAGTACCCTAAATAGAGTTACCCCAATTATAACCCTACTTATAACCTACTTACTAAGTCCCCTGCCCTTCCAAGTAGGCCTTATTCAGGGTTTTTGCGTTTTGGATTTGCGGCTTAGGGCTTGGGTGAGAAATGGTTTAGGGCTTTAGGACTTCAGGTTTAGGCAGGCCTTTAAATGGTTTAGGGTTTGAGATTTAGGAATTTAGGATTTGGGGTTTAGGTTTTCTCTGAAGTGGTTTAGGATTTTTTCTTTCAGGGTCTTGTGCTGTTTGGACAGAGGGTGCTTTACATTCCATCAACGGGCTTTTAGCGGCTTTGGGAAGGATTTTGGGCGGGTTTGTTTGACCCTGTTTTTTTGGCTTCTCAGTTCTGTTGGTGCTTAGGCTGGTCTGACCTGTTTTCTTGCGTTATGAGTTCTATGTGGAGTCCTAATGGCTGTGTAGTGCGCTTCCGGAAAAGTGCACCGTTTCAGGGTTTACGTTTATAGCAGTCTGGGCCTTAAGCTTCAGGAACCAAGTCCGAAATTTGTTGAAGTTCTGAAGAGTGTCCGGAAATCCTGCGACCAGAACTCGTCGGCCTTGCGCAACGCCTGCGGGATGACATTGGCGTCTCCTTGCGGGTAATGCACATGAAGCAGGTGGGAGCTTGAACGGATTAGGGAACCCTTACATCAAGCCCTAAATCCTAAGCCCCATAATCACTATAGAACCCCAAGCCCTAAATCCTAAACCCTATACCCTAAATCCTAAACCCTGTAAACCGCATAAGCCATCGACAGGTCCCCAGTTAGTGCCCGTATACTCTTCTCTGGGTTCTCCTCAGGAAAGCCTCAAAAGGAGCAAACACGGGTTTAGGGTTTAGGGTGCTGCCCCCACTCAGTAAGAGTTGAATATCTGCAATATAGGAATCTTCGGACCTTATCATGGTAGCCCTATTACAGGCTGTTGTCGGTAACCAGGATCAAGGCATTGTATCGGTCAAACGGAATCAAGGATCCGACGGCTGTTGAGTTTGTATTCGCTTGCAAGGTCTTTGGAACAGGGTGGAATTACCTGTAGATTTAGGAATATACCGTGAAATATAAAAGGATCCCCTGTATGATTCATGGTATATTCCTGAATTGCGGGGTTTTGTGGTCTCTGCGTACATGGGATCTAGAAGTAATGGAGAAGAGCTGGTATAGAAGCCCGTCCACAATTTCAGGATTGGTCCTGACTTCAAGTTGAGGATTTGGCGCTAAGCCGTAAACCCTACAAAGCCTAAAACCCAAAACAGTTCACCCCAACCAGCAGTCAATGTATCGGTGTCTGGTTTGGTATCTGTGCAACACGGACTGTCTTGGCACGGCCTTGGTCTACCTCCTACTGTTTCGGGATGTTTCATGATCCTGCAAGTAATACCCTAAACCCTCAACCCTATAGATCCCTTTAAGGAACCCTCTAGCTCCCTTTAAGGAGCCCTTTCAGAACCTTTACTAAGTCCCATGATCCTCCAAGTAGAACCCAAAAAAACCCAAAACCCTATGTAAACCCCCAAGGGTCCCTTATAGATCCCTGTACTAGGACCCAGAGTAGGCCCTGATTCCCTTTTTTAGGGTTCAGGTTCCCTTATAAGCCCCTTTAAACCAAAAAGGGCACCCTTTTTATTCCTGGGTTTCTCTTGGGTCTAGTGTAAGGAACCCCTTAAGGAACCCTGAGCCCACGCTTGCTGGAGCAGGTCCTCCGAAGTCTCGGGTGCCATCTCTTGAAGCTCCAGGAGCTGGTCCTGTTTAGGGTTTAGGGTTTAGGGTTTAGGGTTTAGGGTTTAGGGTTTAGGGTTCAGGGTTTAGGGTTTAGGGTTTGGGGTTCAGGGTTTAGGGTTTAGGGTTTAGGGTTTAGTTTGTTCTCCTAAAGGGAACTCCAGATAGTTGGAAAAGGGATTCATGGCAGAATCCCCTATAATTTACCTTAAAGGGGTTACGACAATGATATTCCAACTTTCTGGCTTCTACTGTAAGGGTCAAGAATTCTATAAGGGTACTATAAGGCCCCCTTTAAGGGTTCTTTAGGAGTTCTATAAGGGTGCCCTACGGGTCCAAAGGACCCAATATTCAGGTACTCGGTTTTAGGATAGTAGTTATGTAGGTCAGGATTTTGGGCTGTAAACTCAACTTTTCAACTTTGGGGGGTCTTCTAAGGTAGTCGATTCTGAAAATATTCAACTTGTACCTCCTTGGGTTTTGGGCCAGTGAGTTATAGGATGCTTCAGGGAGGGTGGTTCCAGGAGGAAGGGTACAAGGGATTTTTAGGGAGTGTTAGGGAGCACTAGAGAGAACTAGTCTCACAAGCTCATAGGAACCCTTAGGGGGGTAAGGGGACGGGGGTAGGGCACTATACTTCCTTAAATGGTAGGTCTTTGTTGTTGGTATTAACGCCTCCTACCCACCTCCCCCCTACCCCCCTAAGGGTCCTTATGAGTTTAGGATGCAAACTGGGTTTTTGGGGTCAGGGTTTGGGGTTTTGAGGGTTTAAGGATTTAGGGCTTGGAAATCGAGGGTTTATGATGCAGGGTGGGTTTAGGAGTTTGCGGTTTCGGGTTTTCGGTTTTAGGGGTTTACGGTTTAGGGGTTAGGATTTTGCGTCTTTTGGGTTTTTAGGGGTTCAGGGTGAGTTAAGGTATATTCCTTTATTGTGGGATTTTGGATGTTCGAGCCTGGGTTTGTCGAAGGGTGCTGACAAGGGTTAGAACAGGGCTGCTCATGCCGGACGCCCTTGTCTAGCAGGTCTGGGGCTGCCGACAACAGCCATACGTGGGAGTTGTATACCTTCCCAAAGGCTCCATGTACCCATATAGTAGGTACTTTGGCCTTGAAGTACCTATACAGGGACCCCTTTAAGGCCTAATACCTACTATATGGGCACATGGAGTCTTAGGGCATATTGGGGAACCCCCACTAAAAGGACCCTACCTATTAGGGCTGAAGGCCCCTTGCCTTCTCAAGTTCTCGCATACATTTGCATCGTGAAAAGAACCTTCCCTAGTAGTAGAGTAGGAAACCTTTAACCTGTTTTTGGGGTAGTATTGCCCCTATATGATCCCTATATAACCAAAAAGGTTAACCTTTAGTTCCCCATGATACCCCGACACGTAGGCTTCTATGTTCTGGAGTTCATATAATAAGGGTTTCTCCAACACACGTGTTAAGTTGCGAAGGTTTACAGTTCGAAACATAGGATGTCTTCATGATTGTGGGTACATTACACCTTTACAAAAATTCTCAGAGGATGTCATTATCTAGCTCAGTATTCAGACAGTAGAATGACATATACAGGCCCACTTCAACACCCTGTAGCGGCACCACACAGGGCTAAGGTAATCGCCTGAACCCGAGCCGCCAAAACATAAAGTCCGTATAGGTTCCCCCTACACGAACTCTTATACTTCCTTTCTCGAAAACCTAAACCCTGAACCCTAAACCTTGCGCCCTAAACCCTGCACCCTAAACCCTGCACCCTAAACCCTAGACCCTGCACCTTAAACCTTGCACTCTAAACCCAAATTAAACCCTAAACCCCGTACCCTAAGCCCTAGACACTGCACCTGAACCTCAAGGCCTGCACCCTAAACCCCAAAATCCCAAAAAGGAACACCAGACATCCGGGGAGCCTGAAGCCCTCAAGCATCTCGGCACTGGCCTTTGAAGGAAGCCTGGAACGAACCCTTAACGGTTCCCTTAAAGGAACCCGTTAGGGCCATAGACCACTAAGCTTTAAACTGTACCTTGATCTGACAAAACCTACATTGTTTGCAGGGTCCCTAAAATGTTCACAAAAATTATCATAATCATGATAATAAGAACGAAAAACGAAAGTATGTTGTTTTAGTTTTCAGGTAAGCCTTCAACCCCTGTATTCAGTGGCTATTCAGTCCTCGCAAGCCTTAGGTTCCAATGTAAATCCTATTCCCCGAATCTTAGTTCAGGGTTTAGGATCCAGAGTTTTATGCAGCGTCTTGTAAGGGTTTAGAAGGTCAGGGCCTAAGCCCTCAAACCCAATTCCGAACTGGCCATGGAGTCGTTGGAGTTGGCAGAGGAAGGTGCTCTTTCGCTGCCAAACACCTTCCGCAATCTGCGGACGAGCTACCTGCGCTACTGCCTTCTGCGCCCTGGCTATAGTCTAGTAGGTTATAGCAAGTTATAGCACTATATGCTACTATAGTAGTTTTTTGGTTTAAAGATATCTTAGCATCTCGTGGGATTCGGGCTTGTGGATTAGCAGCTGCGCGGGGTTTGGGGTGTGGGAGTTCGAGTTGGATACCGTAAACCCGATACCTAAATATACTACTTTCTCATCACCTTCTAGAAGACCCTATAGCCTGATACTTAAATATACACTTTCTAATCAACTTCTTGAATACCCTATAGAATACCTCTCATACCTGACATTCCTCAAGGCTCGAACCCTGACATCGGAGGCCTCAGTCGAATAGAGGGGCCTTAGTTACTTAGTAGCTGAGCAGGTACCCTCTAAGGGTTCCTCAGGGTTTTCATAAGGGATCTGTAGGGGTAGAGAAAGCTTAGGGTAGGACCTAGAGTAGGCCCTTATTCCCTGTTTTTGGGGTTCAGGTTCCCTAAAAAGCCCCTTTAAACCAAAAAGGGCACCCTTTTTATTCCTAGGTTACTCTTGGGTCTAGTAGGGTAAGGTAGGAGACTTAATAGCCGAGTAGCTAGTTGACTTACCTCTAGGCTCATACCCCCTTGTTTGAGGTATCTACTTAGTATTTCTATATAACCGGTCCTAAGTATAAAAATGGGTAGGGTATGAGCCTCTAAGTAGTAGCTGAGTAGGCAACCTTTAACATTTTTGGGTTTATGTGATCCTACCAGAAAGTAAAGGTTAATCAACCTATTTGGGGCTAGGGTACTCAGCCCCTAAGGTTATTACCTATATTATTTTGGTGGGTTCCTTACCATAGTTGTAGTAGATATACACCCCAAAGACTTGTTCTAATTGTTAGGCCCCAATATCAGAGCTGCTGTGCCAGAACTCCTCATGCCTCAAACAGGTAGCTTTTCTGCAAGTTGCCCAGAGGCATTGTAATGTAGTTTTAGAGCTTTAAGATTGAAACACTACTTTTTTTGTTCAGATGAAACATTCGCAGCCAAGGTCTGGATGCCTAGAGCCTTAGGGTTAAAACACGACCTGTATCTCAGAACATTCGCAGCCAAGGTCTGGATGCCTGTCTGTGATCTTCCTCACGTGCTCTTCATTCGCTGCTCCCGGCTGTATCGATCGAACACCCCGGCAGACTACCACCGGATTCGAGTGTCACTTAGACCCCCAATACCTAATTCTTTTAATTGTTCGGTTCGTATAGTTTAATAGGAATCGGAAAGTTTAACCTTTCATTTCCGTGGCTTATTGGGGTAGTAAGGTTACTATCGATGGAAGTGGGAGCAACACCTCTGCGACAGTTACTGTTGCAACGGGACCACGCTGGGTGTCGAAGAGGGCGACTGGTGCGTAGACTATTGCTTTGAGGATGGTAACTGCGAGTTGACGAGGTGTGCCCCGGCCCAAAGTCAAGGAGAGTATGTGGCTTTGCAAATGCTGCGCTGGTCCGGAGCTGTAGCTTTCTATCTTGTCTGGATGCTCTTCTTCTTGCTGGGAAGAATGCTTTGCAGAACCACGACAGCATTGGAGAAGAAGACCGCCTGCAGGACAGAAGCCGTGTGTGATATTGCACTGGTATTGTTGCTGTGAAAATCTTCAAGCCTGAGAGTGCTATTTGGTATTCATAGCATGAGCATTGCAACCGTGAGTGTCATTACACTTTTTCTCTCTTCTTATGTCTACTGGTAACATGAGCAGTAGCTGCAGTCAAGCTTCAGCAGTATCGGTCGTCGTCGCTGTCGCCGTAGCCGTGGTAGTAGTCGTGGTCTTGGCAATAGTCGTGGTAGTGGTGGCAGTAGCAGTACTAGCAGCCGCAGCAGCAGCAGCAGCAGCAGCAGCAGCAGCAGCAGGAGTAACAGTTATAGCAGTAGTGGTAGCAGTAGCAGCAGCAGCAGCAGCAGGAGTAGTAGTAGTAGTAGTAGTAGTAGTAGTAGTAGTAGTAGTAGTAGTAGTAGTAGTCGTCGTCGTCGTAGTAGCAAGTAGCCAGTAGTAAGCAGTGAGTAACAAGTAGTAAGTAAACAAGCAGTAAGTAGTAAGTAAAAAGAACTAACAAGTCAGAAATTCTAATAAGTAACAAGTAATAAGCAATAAGTTGTAGGAAGCAAAAGAAGGAGAAGGAAAAGTAGAAGTAGGAGCAGCAGCAGCAGCAGTAGTAGCAGTAGTAGCAGTAGTAGCAGTAGTATCAGTAGTAGTAGTAGTAGTAGTAGTAGTAGTAGTAGTAGTAGTAGTAGTAGCAGCAGTAGCAGCAGTAGTGGCAGTAGTGGCAGTAGTAGCAGTAGTAGCAGTAGTTGCAGTCGTAGAAGTAGTAGCAGTAGTAGCAGTAGCAGTAGTAGCAGTAGTAGCAGCAGTAGCAGCAGTAGTAGTAGCAGTAGTAGTGGTGGTAGGTTGTAGGTGGTAGGTGGTAGGTGGTAGCGGTAGCGGTAGCGGTAGCGGGACGAGGAGGGGTAGGGGAACAGTATTGTGACTGTAATGTTAAGACCTTAAGCTCTGATTACAGCCTTCGACGCGCCACCCATAGGTTCAAGCTCGCCCACAAGCCCAAAGAGCCTTGTGCAGTATGGCCTTTGGGCCAGGACCGTTGCGATATGAGCCCTTCGAGCAGTAGAGCTATTTTCCAACTCAAGTGACAATCCGACAAGCAAAGCCCAAAACGGAATTTACAGAAGAAGCTTGGTAGGAAAGTGAAGCCCCCACCCCCCCGAAAACTAGTCATCGTTCTGAAAATTCAAAGAAGCCTTTTTGAGCGGTCCAAGTAACCTTCTGAAACAAGCACGTGTTGCGTTGAACAAATGTTCGACGCAGGACCGCATGCCTGTTTGCTGTGTTCACTGTTTTCCTCTACGGTCTCTATTCCATCTATCTCTTCACGGACTGCCACCACGAATTCCGAGGCAAACGGACATTGATCCGGGCCGAGATAACATTCTAGACCTAGGGTCTTAAGTCTTAAGGCTTATTTTGAAGCTCGGGGTACTCCGCTGCAGCTTGTCATCCTGAGATTGTTCAGCAAAGACCATGTGAAGCGGGGTTTATACTAGTAGGGAAGTTGGTGAGCGTATAGAGCTTTCTTTGCAACTACTGTCGAGTGTATATTGAATATGACCAGACCAGCAATCAAAAACCCGAATTCCATTTGTCAGACCAAAACGAGTCAGACCCTAGAACCCTGAACCCTTCAGATCGAAAAGAGGCCCTCAATGAAACACTAAACCCTATGCCTATAGTTTCCATTGTAGCTCCTTTTTTGGGTTAAGCAAAAACTCTATTGTAGGATCCTAGCCGTAATAAATTGCTTAACCAAAAAAAGAGAACTACAGTGGAGACTATAGGTAGAGCCTACGGTCGATCTAGAACCCTACCTGGACCCTATAAAAACCCGATCCACGCTGTTCAGTGGTACACTTTTTGCTTTCAGGTTTCTCGGTTCCTATTATAAAATAAGAAGCCTACAAAAGTATATACTTGTTCCCAGTGGGTTACTGAACAGCCTAGCTATTCTGATTTCCGTACGTGGGAGTTTTCTAAGAATAGGGGTACCTTATCTTGGGGGTCCTTATAAGAGGGGCGTACTATTTGGGGTACTATATTGGGGTCCCCTATTTTCGGAAACTCCCACATAAGTCCTTAAGAAGGAGATTATCCGATGTAACTTATTCGAAGTATGGTTACTTTATTCGCAGCCCTACTTCTCAGGGGTAGGAGGTTCTTTTGAGGGCTGCTTTAAGGGTTCTTTTCAGGGCGGAACCCTTTTGTCTAACTCGCCATCCCACAATCTCCATAGCTAACGTGGTTTCTAAGCTTTTTCGATGAATTTCACGAAAAAAACTTGCTGAACGAAAGTCCAAATCCGGGAACTAGAAACGCGATTTTCACAAGTCATGCGTGAAAGCTAAGAAGCGTGCGCGACATGTGTTGCCAGCTTTGACTTTCGGACATCCCACAATCTCCATAGCTAACGTAGTTTCTAAACTTTTTCGATGAGTTTCACGAAAAAATTTCCTGAACGAAAATCAAAATCCGGGAATTAGAAACGCGATTTTTGCAAGTCATGCGCGAAAGCTAAGAAGCGTGCGCGGCCACATCTTAGATTTTGTAGAACCCCTATAGCCTCTTAAAGGAAACCGTATTAATTATAGAACCCCATACGCAGTACCCCCTGGAGGGAACCGTACAATAGAACCCCAAAGTACCCCTTATCCCTAAACCCTAACCCTAAACCCTAAACCCTAAACCCTAAACCCTAAGCCCTAAACCCTAAAACCCTAAACCCTAAACCCTAAACCCTATAAACCCTAAAGGGGAAGCCCTGGGACCCCGCAGGCATCGCCGACCTTTTCCTCGCCGCCGGCTTGTTGGCGTCCTTCCTTTGTGTTCGATACTTGGTGGGCGTTGCTTCTTCGCAGTCAGGAGCTTCGGGAGTTTGGGGTGGTTTAGGTTTTCTGGGGTTTGGGGGTTTAGGGTTTGTGGGTTAAGGGCTTCTTCAGTCAGAAGCTTTTGGGGTTAAAGTTTTGGGGTTTATGGCTGCTTCGCACTCAGGAGCCAGAGCAGGGATAGGGGTTAAAAAAAAATTAAATAAGGATCAAAAAAAATTAAATAAGGATCAAAAAAAATTAAATAAGGATCAAAAAAAAATTAAACGGGTATCCGCGAAAGGAAGGGGAAAAAGGAAGGAAAGAAAGACAGAGAGAGAGAGAGAAGGAAAGAAAGAAAGAAAGAACGAACTAAAGAAAGAAAGGAAGGAAGAAAGACATAACGAAAGAAAGAACGAAATAAAGAAATAAAGAAACAACAAAAGAAAGAAACAAAGAAAGAACAAAAGAAAGAAAGAAATAAAGAAAGCCATGCAAGAAAGAACGAGAGAGAGAACGAAAGAACGAAAGCAAAAACGAAAGAAAGAACGAAAGCAATAACGAAAGAAAGAACGAACCAAAGAAAGAACGAAATAAATCAAACCAGAAAGAAAGCAAGAAAGAAAGGAAGGGAGTATGAGATGAACAAAGAAAGAACAACAGAAAGAAAGAAAATAAATGAACGAGCGAAAGACAGAAAGAAGTCCATACTAAAAAAGCAAAGTTGGAAAAGACGAAAGAGAAAGAATATGAAAGAATCACAGAAACAAAGATACAAGCAACAGGATACTACATAGTCCAATCGAATTTACCATAATATCGTAATGTACCGTAACATAATATAACATAATGTAACCTAATGTTATAAAATATACTACATATTATGTTGTAAATATACACACTGTATTGTACTATGTTACAATGTACTACACTATAAACTAAGATGTTGTTTTGTTCTATGTCATCTTCTGTTATATTGCATTGTTGTATTTTTAGTATGCTGTTATATGCTATAAGAAGCAAGGTTCTGTTATGTCAGAAAATGTCACACCATTTTTGTGTTGTCGAACCATCTTATGTCGTTCTTCTGGTTTACTATGTTATATATATATAGGTTAGAATGCTAACGGAAGAAGAGACACGAACAGGCGCGGAAGAACAAAACACCCGCCGCCGCGCTTTTCGAGACGTGCAAGCTTGATTCAAAGAATGTTTTCGAAGCCCATCATGTGAACGTTGTCTCTGCAAATGGGGGGGGCTGCGCCCCCCCCAACCCCCCCGCTGTTTTAAGCCGTGCAGGGTTGCTTTGAAGCATATGCCTTTTTTTGAACCCCAGCAAATGAGGGTGTCTCCGCCCTTGTAGATACATGCTGAACCAGAATCGCCAAATGAGAGGCGTGTTTAAGATAGATGATGAAGCGGAATACCAGCAACAGCTACAACAGGAAATCCGTCCTAAATGTGAAATTGGAAGGAAAATTTGATTTTCCCGAGGAACAACCATATGTTGTCCTTCTGAAAACCTGAAGAAATGACACGAACGCCATAGGTAATAGGAAATAGGTTTTTCCTACGAAAAATCAAGGAAAACTTAGGGAAATACCACGGAATCCGCAGGAATATCGTGTTTTCCAGAGCAAAAACCAGACAGATCCTAAGGAAACACAAGAAAATCCGTAGGAAAACAGTGTTTTCCATTGGAAAAATTCAGGAATTGCTGTATTTTAAGTGATTTAATTTTTTTTTGATCCTTATTTTATTTTTTTTTGATGCCCCTGCCCCAGCAATTGCTGTATTTTGCGTGATTTAATTTTTTTTTGATCCTTATTTTAATATTTTTTTGATCTTTCCATTTAATTTTTTTTTGATCCTTATTTAATTTTTTTTTGATCCCTCACCCGCCAGAGCACCCCAAATCCGCTCATTAGTCAACATACACAGTTCAAACAAGTTAGCCCATCGAAAGGCATATCAAGTCTTACGAGGGCTTGCTCGGTGAACCTTTCAGTTGTTTCCAGATTCGTAACACTGAAGCATGCCATTGAAGAAAGTTATGGCCAGTACACCTCAACACAGCCCAGCCCCAAACTCCAAACCATAACCCTCTAAACCCTAAACCAAAACCCAAAACTGCATACCCCCAAAGCCCTGAACCCAGCAGGAGTGGAGTCCTACGACATGTTGTTGGCAATGATTTCCGATTCTTACACCCGTGGCGATGGCCGGACCCTTGTGCTTGAGGTCCGGACTGTCGAAACCCGAAGCGAGTTGAGTTGAGGTTTAGGGTTTAGGGGTTTAGGCTCAGGGCAAAAGGCCCGAAAACAAGAAGTGCCAGACAGTTTCGTTGAAGAGTTCCTCCATTAATCCTTCCGTGACGGCACCCGTAAACCCTTCGCCTTGGCGGTTTTACCCTAAACCCGAAACCCTTAACCAGAAGTCCCCGCAACCCTAAACCCTGAAAGAACCCAAGGTCCCTAAGCCCCGTAGAACCCCCCTTAGACCCCGGAGGCCCACCAAACCCCCACTAGGTTCCCCAGCAGTACTCTTTTGCCCTTTTCCCGCTTGGGTTCCCTTCTGAATACCGAAGAGTAGGATAAAGGGTGCCCTCACTTTTAGGGGCTATTGGGGAACCTAAACCCTAGAACCCTAAAGCTTAAACCCCATACCCTAAACCCCTAAAACCCTGCCCTATTGAGGGTGCTAGCCTAACCCTATAAGGCTCAAACGACTTCTAATTTAAGGCTTTTGGGCCTAAAGACCTTATTATAAAAAGGCTTTCGGGGCCATTTTGAGCCTTAGGGTAAGGCCTAGAAAGAGTCCCGGAAAGGTCGGGCAGGAGCGTCTGCGCGACTTCTGGCAGGAGCTTTGGGGGATTTACGGCTTTGGGTTCCCTAAACCCTAAGCCCTAAACGCCGAACCCCAAACCTCAAGCCCTGAACCCCAAACCCTAAGCCGCAAGCCCTAAACCCCAAACCCCAATAAACCTTAAACTTCTATAAACCCACAAGGGCCTACAAACCCTAAAACGGTTCAGGGCTGAGAGATGCAATGCTTACTTGGAGGGTCGGGGGATGAGGGTCCCTTTTAGAGTACTTATAAGTCTACTTACTACCTACTTACTAAGTCCCTGAACCCTAAACCCTAAACCCTCTAGTACCCTTATAGAGCCCTTTAAAGGAACCCTTATAATCCCCTTTAAAAACGAGCCCCTACTTACTAAGTCCCCCGACCCTCCAAGTAGGGCTTTGGAAACCCGGCCCTCGGCCCAAAGCCTTTGCGATCATGGGACCCAGTCACTCGCTTCACGCTGCTTAGGGTTTAGGATTTAGGGTTTACGGTTTTAGGGTTCTAGGGTTTAGGGATTTAGGGTTTAGGGTTTTAGGGTTCTAGGGTTTAGGGTTTTAGGGTTTAGGATTTTAGGGTTTAGGGTTTTAGGGTTTTAGGGTGTAGGGTTTAGGGTTTTGCGGATTTAGGGTTTAGGGTGTTAGGGTATAGGGTTTAGGGCCAGGGCTGTGCATGTGAAGCCCTAAGCGTTCAAATCCTTCAAATCTGGAAATATCCCTAACATCTTTCAAATCCCGTAACCCGAGGCCCTAGACATACACAACACCCGAATCTCGCCGCAGCCCTAGATGAAAGAACGGCCTCACATCCTTCAAAATCGGGGGTTGCCTGTAGAAGCAGGGGCTGCAGTTACTTGGGGTCCTTTTCAAATAACTACCTGGTACAATTTTTGTTGGGGGGGGGGCTCCTTATTATAAGTATAGTATAATGCGCCCCAAAACCCTATGCTAATTATTGAGGCGCCTATAGGATTGATGTCCCATGTCACTGATCCCATCAAAAGCTTGATTTATGCGGATGCGCTTAGCAAAGAAGCCGTGCTTTAATTCGAGGAGATGGCTTAATGAAGGCTTTATACAGCCCCCTGATTTGTACCCCCTCTTCCTTGAGTGAGGGTTGTGGCGCAGATCCAGCTTTTAAACAAGAGGAGCGGGTCGAAATTCAGGGGTCTACATGCGCCCCCATCAGGTTTTGGAGGCCGGAGCCCAATACCCCAATCCCTCAGCCCTCAACCATGACCCCTGAACCAGTGCCGTAGCCACAAACCCTAAACCCTAACGACCCTAACCCCTAAAGGGAACTCCAGAAACTTGGAATATGGATTGATGGTAGGATCCCCTATAATTTACCTTAAAGGGGTTACGATAATGATATTCCAACTTTCTGGCTTCTACTGTAAATTCGAGCAGCAAGGAACAAGATTCCTTCCAAAAAGCGAAGCCTCAGGGTTCCCCTTAGATCCCCAAGACCCAACCTGGGGGTTCTATAGGGTTCCTTTCAAGGGATCTATAAGGGTTCCTCTAAGGGATCTACCTTAGATCCCCAATGCCTAACCTTTAAACTTTTCGGGTTCTTATAGTTTAGTAGGAATCGGAAAGTTTAACCTTTTTATTTCTGTGGCTTATTGGGTAGTAAGTCCCGCACAGAACTGGGTTTAGGCTTCAGTTCTGTTTCAGAAAGTAGCCACCAGCACCCTCCTTGTACCCTCAAATAGGGGTATATGGTCCTACGTAAGGGGCATTTAGGGTCCGATAGAGAGTAGATGGAGGGTCCAGGCAATGCCCAGAAATTCTCGTCGAAAGGCCCTCTCGCTCTAGCTGTTGCTGACTTAAATACGGTTGATGATATAAATCCTGCATGACCCATAATGAGGAATATGCCATAATTCCCATAGTTTAGGGTCCTTAAGGTAATGCAGGATTTATATCATCAACCGTATTGCTGACTTAAATACCCATTGGTCCGAAGTTTGTGTTAAAGCCCTACCCCTAAGACTCCATGTGCCCCTATATGTAGTAGGTACTTAGGCCTTAAAGGGGTCCCTATATAGGTACTTTAAGGCCAAAGTACCTACTATATGGGTACATGGAGCCTTTGGGTACACTCTAAAATTACAAGTCTTGTCCCCGCGCGCAGGAGAACCTCTCTGGGCAGACAGATACCGCTTTTACTGTGAGCAAGCGCTACCGCTATTGCATTACAATCGTCCTCCTCTCCCTTTGTATCGGCGCTTGCGGCATTTTGTTCACGGCACGTCAGAGGTTTTTTCTTTGCTGGATGGGCTTCTTTGGGAGCGTGCTGCCGATGCTCTACTTCTACGCTGCTTGTCTTGCCACAGCAGGGGAGAGATAATTAGAATCATTACAGCACCGCAGGTGCCCAAGATGCGGGTAGTGTCGGAAGGAGCAGCGATGGTGTGGGTTTAGGGCTTAGGGTTTAGGGCTTAGGGCTAATTAGGAACACGAGCACACTTCCCCGAGATGCTACATCCAATTTCCGTGAGTCACAACCCGACCCTATACCTGCAATATTACCTCCAATCCAAGGGTAAAAGGACAGACCCTTAATAAGGACCCCTAGGTATATACTCTTAATATTACCCAGAGGGTCCATATATACTACCATTGTGAAATTAGGTCCCAAAAGACCATCCCCATTATGGCTTGGGGGACCTAATTCCATAATAGTAGTGTATATGGACCCTCTTGGTTAACTCCAAAGTGGATCCTCCCCGTCAGGCTCTTACGCTTGCTCCAGTACAAAACTGGACTATGCGCCGCAAAGCCGCCAAGGCTCTGGCCAACTTGCCCAGCCGAGACAAGGTGACTTAGAAAGGTTCAGGGCTTAGGGTGTACCTGTAGTCTCCATTGTAGTTCCTTTTTGGTATTACTTTTTAGGATCCTTAATATAAATTTGGTTAAACCAGAAAAAGAAACTACAATGGAGACAATAAGTAGGGTATACCTCCCCTGCCCTGTGGGTTGGTGCCAGTGGTGTTCGCGGTTGCTTGGCCTCTCTTGAAGCTTAAGTCTTAGCACGCACATCGACAACGAAAAAGGGAGAAGCCCAGTCAGAACCTGCTTTTCTTCTAAGCCTCTACTTGAAGGATCATGGGACTTAGTAAGTACGGTTATAAGTACCTTAATTGGGGTTATAAGTAAATTTACCCTAATTATAACCCTAGTTACTAAGTCCCATGATCCTTTAAGTAAGCTAGCTGAAAGGGCTTGGCGTGGAAGAGCACATGGATGTCTGTATCAAAAGTTGAAACCGCCGCCGTGCCCCAAGAACCAAAGCTTCGAACCTTGCCCACACGGGTCCAAAGGACCCAATATGGCGGTCGCGATGCTGCGGCCTTTGCATTTCAAAAATTCATCCCTCTGAGCCCCCCAAAGGGTCCTAAGTACCTTTATGGTAGAATGTAGGTTTTCTGTATTAGGGATCATTATTAAAATTTGGATAAGTATCCCCCATAACAGTACCTAGGACCCTCTGGGCCCTGAACTTAGATCCCCAATACCCAACCTGTAAACTTTTTGGGTTCTTATAGTCTGGTAGGAACCGGAAAGTTTAACCTTTTTATTTCTGTGGTGTATTGGGGGAGTAAGTTAAGCCCTCTTTGACCAGGTGGTTTTGTTTGCCAACGGTCGATCTCCCGAGAATGCCGCGGAGAGACAAAGTGCCGAGTTCATGTCGATTGCGTACTTCTCCGGGCAAGACCCTGTGGCTTTGCCTGGAGTTTAAGGTTTTGGGGTGGCTGGGTTAGGGTTTAGGGTTTCGACGTTATTGCGTCGAGTTTAGGATGCAGGGTTCTAAATGGCTTCTTTGGGTTTTTGCATTGCGCGCGCAAACAGCGGACGCGCACCGCTAAACCCGAGAAACCCGAGAAACCCGAGAAACCCGAGAAACCCGAGAAACCCGAGAAACCCGAGAAACCCGAGAAACTCGAGAAACCCGAGAAACCCGAGAAACCCGAGAAACCCGAGAAACCCGAGAAACCCGAGAAACCTGAGAAACCCGAGAAACCCGAGAAACCCGAGAAACCCGAGAAACCCGAGAAACCCGAGAAACCCGATAAACCCGATAAACCTGATATCAGGGGCGCCCCATAAACCCAAGGCTCCACCCTCGGAGTTCATGATCTGTAAGGGTTGCGACTTAGAAGGAAGGCAGGGGTGCCCCAGCAACCCAAGGCCCGACCCTCGGAGTTCAAGATTTGAAAGAGTTCTGATTAAAAAACAGGGGCGTCCGAGGCCCCACCCCCGGAGTTCAAGCTCACTAAGAGGCGGTGATCTGAAAATCATGGGCGCTCCATCAGTCCAAGTCCTCATCCTCGGAGTTCAACATCTGTCAAAGCTTTGATTTCAGAATCAGGGGTGCCCCATCAGTCCAAAGCCCCACCCTCGGAGTTCAAGGATCTGTAAGGGTTCTGATTTAAAAATCAGGGGCGCCCCGCTCCATCAGAGTCCAAGGCCCCACCCTCGGAGTTCAAGATCTGTAAGGGTTGTGATTTAGAAATCAGGGGTGCCCCAGCAACCCAAGGCCCGACCCTCGGAGTTCAAGCTTTGAAAGAGTTCTGATTAAAAAAAAAACCGGGGGCGTCCGAGGCCCCACCCCCGGAGTTCAAGCTCACTAAGAGGCGGTGATCTGAAAATCATGGGCGCTCCATCAGTCCAGGGCCTCCTCCTCGGAGTTCAACATCTGTCAAAGCTTTGATTTAAGAATCAGGGGTGCCCCATCAGTCCAAAGCCCCACCCTCGGAGTTCAAGGATCTGTAAGGGTTCTGATTTAAGGGGCGCCCCGCTCCATCAGAGTCCAAGGCCCCACCCTCGGAGTTCAAGATTTGAAAGAGTTCTGAACCAGGGGCGTCCGAGGCCCCACCCCCGGAGTTCAAGCTCACTAAGAGGCGGTGATCTGAAAATCATGGGCGCTCCATCAGTCCAGGGCCTCCTCCTCGGAGTTCAACATTTGTCAAAGCTTTGATTTAAGAATCAGGGGTGCCCCATCAGTCCAAAGCCCCACCCTCAGAGTTCAAGGATCTGTAAGGGTTCTGATTTAAAAATCAGGGGCGCCCCGCTCCATCAGAGTCCAAGGCCCCACCCTCGGAGTTCAAGATCTGTAAGGGTTGTGATTTGGAAATCAGGGGTGCCCCAGCAACCCAAGGCCCGACCCTCGGAGTTCAAGCTTTGAAAGAGTTCTGATCAAAAAAACCAGGGGCGTCCGAGGCCCCACCCCCGGAGTTCAAGCTCACTAAGAGGCGCTGAAAATCATGGGCGCTCCATCAGTCCAAGTCCTCATCCTGAGTTCAACATTTGTCAAAGCTTTGATTTAAGAATCAGGGGTGCCCCATCAGTCCAAAGCCCCACCCTCGGAGTTCAAGGATCTGTAAGGGTTCTGATTTAAAAATCAGGGGCGCCCCGCTCCATCAGAGTCCAAGGCCCCACCCTCGGAGTTCAAGATTTGAAAGAGTTCTGATTAAACAAACCAGGGGCGTCCGAGGCCCCACCCCCGGAGTTCAAGCTCACTAAGAGGCGGTGATCTGAAAATCATGGGCGCTCCATCAGTCCAGGGCCTCCTCCTCGGAGTTCAACATCTGTCAAAGCTTTGATTTAAGAATCAGGGGTGCCCCATCAGTCCAAAGCCCCACCCTCGGAGTTCAAGGATCTGTAAGGGTTCTGATTTAAAAATCAGGGGCGCCCCGCTCCATCAGAGTCCAAGGCCCCACCCTCGGAGTTCAAGATCTGTAAGGGTTGTGATTTAGAAATCAGGGGTGCCCCAGCAACCCAAGGCCCGACCCTCGGAGTTCAAGCTTTGAAAGAGTTCTGATTAAAAAAAACCAGGGGCGTCCGAGGCCCCACCCCCGGAGTTCAAGCTCACTAAGAGGCGGTGATCTGAAAATCATGGGCGCTCCATCAGTCCAGGGCCTCCTCCTCGGAGTTCAACATCTGTCAAAGCTTTGATTTCAGAATCAGGGGTGCCCCATCAGTCCAAAGCCCCACCCTCGGAGTTCAAGGATCTGTAAGGGTTCTGATTTAAAAATCAGGGGCGCCCCGCTCCATCAGAGTCCAAGGCCCCACCCTCGGAGTTCAAGATTTGAAAGAGTTCTGATTAAACAAACCAGGGGCGTCCGAGGCCCCACCCCCGGAGTTCAAGCTCACTAAGAGGCGGTGATCTGAAAATCATAGGCGCTCCATCAGTCCAGGGCCTCCTCCTCGGAGTTCAACATTTGTCAAAGCTTTGATTTAAGAATCAGGGGTGCCCCATCAGTCCAAAGCCCCACCCTCAGAGTTCAAGGATCTGTAAGGGTTCTGATTTAAAAATCAGGGGCGCCCCGCTCCATCAGAGTCCAAGGCCCCACCCTCGGAGTTCAAGATCTGTAAGGGTTGTGATTTAGAAATCAGGGGTGCCCCAGCAACCCAAGGCCCGACCCTCGGAGTTCAAGCTTTGAAAGAGTTCTGATCAAAAAAACCAGGGGCGTCCGAGGCCCCACCCCCGGAGTTCAAGCTCACTAAGAGGCGCTGAAAATCATGGGCGCTCCATCAGTCCAGTCCTCATCCTCGAGTTCAACATTTGTCAAAGCTTTGATTTAAGAATCAGGGGTGCCCCATCAGTCCAAAGCCCCACCCTCGGAGTTCAAGGATCTGTAAGGGTTCTGATTTAAAAATCAGGGGCGCCCCGCTCCATCAGAGTCCAAGGCCCCACCCTCGGAGTTCAAGATTTGAAAGAGTTCTGATTAAACAAACCAGGGGCGTCCGAGGCCCCACCCCCGGAGTTCAAGCTCACTAAGAGGCGGTGATCTGAAAATCATGGGCGCTCCATCAGTCCAGGGCCTCCTCCTCGGAGTTCAACATCTGTCAAAGCTTTGATTTAAGAATCAGGGGTGCCCCATCAGTCCAAAGCCCCACCCTCGAGTTCAAGGATCTGTAAGGGTTCTGATTTAAAAATCAGGGGCGCCCCGCTCCATCAGAGTCCAAGGCCCCACCCTCGGAGTTCAAGATCTGTAAGGGTTGTGATTTAGAAATCAGGGGTGCCCCAGCAACCCAAGGCCCGACCCTCGGAGTTCAAGCTTTGAAAGAGTTCTGATCAAAAAAACAGGGGCGTCCGAGGCCCCCGCCCCGGAGTTTAAGCTCACTAAGAGGCGGTGATCTGAAAATCATGGGCGCTCCATCAGTCCAAGTCCTCATCCTCGGAGTTCAACATCTGTCAAAGCTTTGATTTGAATCCTCAAGCTTGTCATGCAACGCTTCCGGTAGCATGTTTCTATGTGGAAGCAGATTTTGCTGAGCTAGGCGCGAGGAGAAAGACCGAGCTTTAAGAATCAGGGGTGCCCCATCAGTCCAAAGCCCCACCCTCGGAGTGCAAGGATCTGTAAGGGTTCTGATTTAAAAATCAGGGGCGCCCCGCCCCATCAGAGTCCAAGGCCCCACCCTCGGAGTTCAAGCTCACTAAGAGGTGGTGATCTGAAAATCATGGACGCTCCATCAGTCCAAGTCCTCATCCTCGGAGTTCAACATCTGTCAAAGCTTTGCTTTAAGAATCAGGGGTGCCCCATCAGTCCAAAGCCCCACCCTCGGAGTTCAAGGATCTGCAAGGGTTCTGATTTAAAAATCAGGGGCGCCCCGCCCCATCAGAGTCCAAGGCCCCACCCTCGGACCTCGGAGTTCAAGACCTGTCAGGGTTCTGACACAAGAATCGGTCGGTAGTCATAGATTTCAGAAGACTTTCAGAAGAACAAAGACACAATAACAAACCCAAAACAGTTCCGAAGTGCGCGTAAAATTCCGGGTGCACGCACAAGAGCACGTCAATTGAGTCGAGATTCGTGGTCGTTCGCCAAAAAATCCGCTGAATAGGATGCAATAACAACACGTGAAATGTAAAAACTCTCTCTGACTGACAGTTGAAGAGAAATCGCAGGACTGCGGGAACTGCTGCCATCAATGAGCCACAAAAACCTGGTACGACAGGGCAGGCTGCAAAACCAAGGACGCAACCAGGCTGCAACAGCCACAGGGTAGTATTGCCTGTGTGCCAGCCTGTATAGGCAGAATTCCAGCGCAATTCGGCGCAATTCGGCGCAATCGGCGCAATTCGGCGCAATCGGCGCAATTCGGCGCAATTCGGCGCAGACGGCGCAATTGGCGCGATTCGGCGCAATTGGCGCAATTCGGCGCAATCGGCGCAATTGGCGCAATTCGGCGCAATCGGTGCTTTCCAGCGCATTCCAACGCATTCGGCGCATTCCAGCGCAATCGGCGCATTCCAGCGCAATCGGCGCAATCCAGCGCATGGCCATCTGCGGCCACTGAGCCCGCACGCACTGTTTGGGTGTTAGGGTGCGGCTTGGCTCTTATAAGGAAAATATACTCCCAAACAAAGGGCTTCAGCACAAACTCTGCGAGTACGTGTTGTTTTTTTGAGGGAGGGGCCTGGCTTAGGGTGGTTTTAAGGTATAGTTCTCTCGGGCTTCATGGCATGATAGGGTTCCCAGAGGATCCATATATACTACCATTGTGGAATTAGGTCCCAAAAGACCATCCCCATTATGGCTTTGGGGACCTAATTCCATAATAGTAGTGTATATGGACCCTCTTGGGTTGTAAGGCTCAAGGTGAAAAGTTCTGCGCGGTTTGGGGTCCCATGAAGGCGGAATTGGGCTTCGTTTTGGATATGATTTGGTGGGGTTTACATGGTTCCACGAGGTTGTTGCTTGAGGCACATTTTGTTTTCAGATCCTTGTGGGGTTTAGAGTGTTCTAGAGGGTGCATGCAAGGCGATTTAGGATTCTACAGTCGTCAGTGTGTATTTGCAGGTTCAGCGTGCATACAACGCAGGTGTATTGAAAAAGGTGCCGGATACAATCTGCCTCGGTTTTTTGCAAGGTGCAGGGATCAGACTTTCGTGTCTGGCTTTTGTTGTTGCTGCTACCTCTAAAGTGGCAGCAGTACCGCCTTTGAATACAGATATTGGGCCGAAAGATATATGGGAGTTTCCAAAAATAGGGGACCCTAATAATATAGTACCCTAAATAGTAGGATCCTTATTCTAAGGACCCCAAAGTAAGGTACCCCTATTCGGTAACTGCCATATTTTCAAGTTCCCTTGTTTTTCAAGGTGGTGACGGGAACACTGGAAGTAAGGGTGCCCCATGGTTCAAGGCACGGGGTTATTGGTCAAAGAGCGTTCCATTGGTGGTTCATGCTTTGCGCCCTGGCTTCGGTTTAGGGTTTAGGGTTGGCTTCCCTTCAAAACTAGCGGAGGTATTTTTCCGAACGGAAGCTGGCGCCGACGAGACTTTGGTGTGGAACTGGACAGTTCGCACAGCCATCACGGAGATGAACGGCCACTGGTATCTCAGTTTTACAACCACTGCCCGTAGATCGACTGCGAGCCTGGGTATTACAAGCAGTTTAGGGTTTTAGTAGGGTCCCTAAACCAAGTTTGTTGCAGTATCGTAGCTGATAACATGAACAGGATCATGCTATCGGAGTCTGTAGGCGTGAACACTGGAGGCATTCCGAACTCTGAACCTTCAGTCCTGTTCCCTCAACCCTAGCCCTAACCCTAAGCCTTAGACTCTGAACTCTGAACCAAAGCGCAAACCCCCAAGCCCACCCCCAAAATTCCCATAGATATCTTATAAGGAAGCCCTTATTAAAGTAACCCGTAAAGGAACCGCAAGCAAGCTGCGGGTGCTTGAAACTTGAAGTCATCCCAAGGAGTCTTCTGCAATCTTCAGATGTCCAAGTCGAGGTTCCCAGGCATTTCCCGCTGGAGGCCTCGATTCGTTCGGGGAGCGATGTCGGTTGTAGGAAAAAGATCCCACTAGGTTATCTTATCTTGGAAGCTACGTACCCTATTTTCTGACATTCCCATCTAATGTGTGCACAAGAACAAGAAGTTTTGGGTACCCTATGCGAGAAACTGAACACCCGGTGTGGGAACCAGCGCGTGCTCAGGGTACTTTAGCACAATACACCGACTAGTAGCCCCTATTAGAGGGTTTTGTTGGGATTGCTTATGGTGTTCTTTTTCGCTTCTTTGTAAGAGCAGGCTTCTGACGTGCGACTCGCGCGTGAATGGCTGCAGCAGCACGAGATCTTTGGTCTACAGTGATGACGCCGAACGCAGAGCTTTGCCCATGGGTTTGTCTCGAACCTTAAATCCTAAATCCGAAGCCCCTAAAGCCTGAAGGCCCAAACAGACGCTCAGATGCTACCTCTCTATTGTCTCCATTGTAGTTCCTTTTTTTGGTTTCCCCAATTATATAGTAAGGATCCTATAAGGTAATCCCAAAAAGGAACTACAATGCAGACTACAAGTAAACCCGAAACCTCAGCTCATGTCGTGGCATTTCGTCGGTGCTTCGATGCTGCCTAAGTGCATCGGAGAAAAGATGCGTGCAGGTATGCCTTTTGGGGCGATGTCACAGTTCTGTCATGGACCAACAGGGTTTCATAGACAACAGTCTTAATTTTGGAGAATGTGAAGGTTCTTCCTGAAGATTGGGCCAGATGCTCCAGAGTGCTGACATGTGACTCCGCATTGGTTATTTGTTGCCTTCGAAAACTGTTTGTGAAAAACGTAATATAGAGGTCTAAATAATTTCCTATACTGCTTCTGGGATTCCTTATTATAGTTATCGTATAATGGGCCTCAAAACCCTATTCTAATGATTAAGGCCCTTATAGTACAGAACCTCAGATCGATTATAGACCCGTTTAAGCCCCATTCTGACTATCAAGGCCCCTATAGTACTGCCCAAGAACCCGAAAGCTATGACTCGAAGCTCGCAGCCATTGACCGCGGGTGCGATTAGAGCTTTGCCCGATGAAGCAGTATCAGGTACCCTAGCAGTTTAGGGTTTAGGCAGGTACCCTAGACCACTAAACCCAACAACCAGAATTTCTGCGCATTGAGGCTTTGGATTTCTGGGTTTCGGCTATATGTTGTATGGGTTTCAGCTTGGGTTTCTGGGGCTTAGGTTTTGGGTTTAGGGCTTTAGGTTTAGGGCATACTGTGCCGTTTTCGGATGTTGAGCGAATGAGGGGATTTGGTAAGTCGGTTCCAGCATTTCAAGTTGGAAGCTCATCAGAATAACTCCATCTACGTAGGATCGTGTTCAGGGAATCACGAACGCCTTTAGAGAATCCTTTCGTGGATCCTGCCCTAAACCCTATTTCGAACCCTAAGCCCTGAACCCTACAACCCTAAACCCTCAAACCCTAACCCCCAAGCCCGAAACCCTGTTTCGAACCCGCGCAGTAACAGTTGGATAATATTCATAGTAGAGATATATTAGGTCCTTAATAGTAGCCCTATTATAGACTCTTAGTGTATAGGGGCAGTATCCAACCTAAACCCTATTTCGAACCCGCGCAAGGGGTATTTCTACCTGGTTTGGGGTTTAGGGGTTTAGGGTTTAGGGTACCCCCAAGCCCTATAAACCCTACTTCGAACCCGCTCGCAAGGAGTATTTCTACCTGGTTTCCGTGCATCTGCCTTTTGGATGCTCGGCTGTCTTTTGTTGGGCTCCATAGGGTTGGGGTTAGGGTTTAGGGTTTAGGGGTTGGGGTTAGGGGCGTTAATAATTTTGCGAGGGTTTTGGGGCCCATTATACTATAAATAATCTAGGTAATTATTAAGGCCGCTATATTATAGAACCCTTACAGATCCCTTATGGTAACCCTTATATAGACCCCTTTAAAGGAACCCATAGGGTTGGAGTTTAGGGGCAGGGCCTAGGGGTTTGTGGGTTGCTTTATGAGTGCCTTGAAGTTCGCAGAGCCTCCAAAACCCTTCAACAAAGGATAGGATTCCCTAAAGGGATCATTAAAGGGCTCTATACAGGGATCTATAAAGGGATCTAAGGAATATACCGGAAATCTAGAGTTCCTTTAAGGGTTCCTTGAAGGGATCTACAAGGAATACACCTTAAATCATATTATGGATCCTATTATAGTTTACGGAATGCGTCTCTGGGTTCACGCCTTCTGTTTGGCGTCCGGAGGTCCGTATGAGGGTGCAAGAAGGCCGCGTCTTGTACATCCAAATCACACCTCTTTAGCAAGGCTTGCCCGCACAATCTGTCAGACCGTGGTATCCATAGTGCAGAGGTCGGAGTACCTCGTAATAGTATCCCCTTGCATTCCCGGCATATTTACACGGTACTGGGCCCCAGCACCCCAATTTCATGATGAAGGCCCTAAACCCTAAACCCTAAACCCTGAACCCTAAACCAAAACCTAATCTCTAAACCCCAATCCCTAAACCCTAAACCCCTAAATCCTAAACCCCACGCTATAAACCCTAAACACCTAAACCCTAAACCCCTAACCCCTAAACCCTGTAAACGCTGAACCCTTATAAACCCTGGACCCTAAACCCAAAGCCTCAAACCCTCATCCCTAACCCTAAGCCCTAAATCCTGAACCCTGAACCCTAAGCCCTACTCCCCAAACCCAAAAACCCTAAGCCCTAGGTCCTAAACACAAGAAAGCACAGACTTCCTGAAGTTTTTTGGAAATCTAAGGCTGGAACGATATCAAGTCCGCTCAAACGAAGGCACAGGAGCGGGAGAGGAGCGCGGACCAGGGTTTGTTTGGCTAAGGTTTGGGGCTTAGGGATGGGTTCGGGGCGTAGGATTGGGGATTCAGGGTTCCCAGAGACTCCAAAACCCTTTAATTACGAATAGACCTAAAATTATAGTCGGGTCCCTTATATGATTTACGGTATATTCCTTACTTCAGGGGTTTGGGAGTCTCTGGGTTGATGGTCATGGAGTGGGGCGCAGGATTGGGGTTCAGGTTTCGGGTCTAGGGTTATAGGATTTACGGTCTGGATAGACTTTTGATATGTTTAGTTCTGCTCATAGTCGATCAACAAGGGCTTGGGAGGACCTGCCCTGCTTCTGCAGTTGGCGGTCACAGGGGCATCGGACAGGTCTCACGAGGATGTCGTCTACTTTCCGTTGCTTGCATTGCAGGGTTTCGGTACTTGGGGCGGTCTCAGGAGTGTTTCTTTCTTGAATCCATGTAGGTTTGCATCGGGTGTCCGACGAGGCATGTCAGTCATACGGGAGTTTCGTATTATTTGGTGTACCTTATTTTGGTGTCCTTATGATAAGGATCCTATCATTCAGGGTACCATATCAGGGTCCCCTATTTTCAGAAACCCACATATCGGAATTATGGCAGAGGCGTAGAGCTTCCCGACTAGATCCTCCCGAGGACAGTACCTCGAAAATAATGAAAATGGGAATAAATTCCATGATGATGCTGATGCTGATGGTGATGATGATGATGTTGATGGTCATGATATTGGTGGTGGTGACGATGATGATGACTGTCACAGCACGAAAATGTAGTCAGAACATCACAACTACGATTGCACGCATATACCACTTACATGAACCGCCGCCATAGCCATATGGGGGTATATGTCGGGCGTCCGCATATGTTTCGATTCCAGCTTTAGGACTTTAGGTTAATGTTGGCTGTTGGAGCTTTTGCACGCCACGACGGTGGCATCGAAACTTGAACGAACAGGGCTGCGGTACCAGGGAACTGAGACAATTTGGGACCGCAGTAATAAGACAAAAGACAGCAACATGAACAACAACAACAACAACAACAACAACAACAACAACAACAACAACAACAACGACAACAACAACGACAACAACCATAACAACATTCGTAATAATACTGATAACTAATAACCATAATGATAGTAACAATACCAACGACACCAAAACAGATAATGGTAGAAGCATCCTTAGCCATAGGAACAGGAGTAATATGGAAGAATGCCAAAAATAGTTGTAATAGTAGTCGTCAATAATAAGAATAGTAGCAGTTATAAAACCAATGGAGGAATGCTCATTTTATTGTAAGCAGAACATAGTTACACTGATAATTGTCAGTACTGTAATCATATCCGCAAGTCTTAGATACTACCAGAAATCGTCATCTTCATAATCAACGTAATAGTCCTAATTATCAAAATACGTCTGGGGCCATACTTAGATGCACTCTCTCTTGGTTCCGTGTTCACTGTAGGCTCTTGATTTGGTGCCTGATTAAGAAACCGTGGCCCGAGAACCCCAAAATGCGGGTTCATGTAATACAAAGAGCCCTAATTGATAAAGGTTCCTACATAACTGGTCTTCGGTAGAACATACATTGTAATACAGCCTAAAGCTCCATTGTAATTACGCCTCTGCATCAGGCGTGGGTTTGATGTGCAGGTTTGGGTTCTGTCCGTTCTTTCCAGGAAGGACGTTTGGAACCAGATCGACGTCTGTGTCACCGCCCGGGGCGAGGCCAGACAACTACTTCTTAAAGACGCTATACGAAACGCTTGTAACAACCCAAAAAGTAACCTAGAAGCCTTTAATTAAACGCCACTATATTAAACCCTTAAAACAACGCCTAAAGTAACCTAGCAGCCTTCAGTTAAGAGACCCTAATGGAACCCCTGCAGTCACCTGGGAGCCTTTAATCTAGAGACCCTAATGGAAGACTTGCTCCTGTAGTCAAGGCCCCTAAGTATGACGTCTGGACCGAGTGACTGGGGGACGCAGTAGAGGTTGCAAGTCGACACTGTAAGGCTTCAGGGCTTAAGGTTGTAATATATATATATATATATACTTTTTACTTATTTATTTATATTTATGTATATATATATATATATATATATACATACATACATATACATATATATGGCTGGTTGTCAAAGTTATTGTCCCTTTTGGGTCCTTATTTTAACACGGCACCTAATATTTAGGGTACCCACAAATGGACCCTAATTTCGACAACCGAAACCTACCCACATATACATATATATATATATATATATATATATATATATATATATGTGTATATATATGCATGATGCATATATATATATATATATATACATGCCATCGAAACTTCTGAAGGGCCAGACATCGTTGCAAGGCTTGAGGCAGCGGAGACCTCGCACAGAGACACCCGTCCCAGCCGTGGCAGCAGCGTTTTAGGTAATGCTGGTATATGCACGCGTACATGACATCTGTATATGTATATGTATGTATATATATATATATATATATACATATATATATACATATATAT